CGACCCCTGAAAACCGGAAAATACCATACTAACACCCGCTGTCTGTACTGTACCCGTTACTTTTATCCCCCATCTCCCTGTTAAGTCTGTATCGTATATACACCCATGTATGATACAGCCAATACTAACACACAGCGACTTTTCCTCTTTTATTGTCAGCAAAATCCGCCGATCACGGGAGGACCGGTAGGGCGGGTACCCTAATCCCAGAGAAGACTAGCGATCAGCAAGACCACCGAGATCCTCCGTCCACCAATAACAAGGCCGGGCAATTCGATTCTCAACGTTCGGTGCAGTGACTGAAAGGAAATCGATCAACCGGTCCGCCCAACTAACTTTCAAAGCAAAAGAAAAAAAAAAAAAAAAAAAAGAGAGAAAGTTGATCCACCTTGCTTCAGGGGGTGGTAAGAGGGACCGTGTGCACAAAAGCTCGGAAATCAATTACCCTGTATCAACAATGCAGAGCATAAACCTACTCCTACTCCAAGTGTTAACTACTTGGCTGTACATACCAACTATGCTCAGCTACTACCTACTTAGTATTATTTCTTACTAATTCAATATTTCTTCTTTTTTCTGTATGAGTTAAGTACAGACAAGTGGTCCACCGTCAAGTATGCATGCATATGCAGAATCACAATGTCAATTCCCTAACGAGGAGGAGTGATAGGTTGCATATGCATTCCGCCCCCTGTCATGTTCCGCTGTTCCGCATATTAAATTTTAGATAGTCACGAGTTAGCATGTTTTTGACATCTAACGGATGAACCTGGTCTAGACATTTGGTTTTTTTTTTTTTTTTTTTCGTGTGGGAAAAAGAAGATGTGGATCCCTTTCTCTCACCCTCACCTGGACTACTGGGTATATGTTCTCTAAACGAACCGTGATAGAATGGAAAGAGAATAAACTAGAACAAAACGAACAACAACAAAAAAAGGAAAAAGTGAAGAGAAAAAAAAATACACACCGCGGAGGTAGATAGCCAACGAACCCACCCATCGTCCCCTACTTACCCTTCCCTAAGTTGAGGGCTGGGCACTCTCCTCCCCATTCCCAGTGGGTAAAAACTACGGAATTCCAGATTATTGGATACCCTAGCGCGATAGTGGATTGTGAGCTCTTCAACTCAGCGACTGAAAAATGAGATCTCGATGTTGAAAAAGAGATTTTTTCTTTTTCTTTTTTTTTTTTTTTTTTTTGTTGTTCTTATTTGTTTTCTGCACGTCCTTTCTCGGTTAAGTAGATGGTTGATCGGTTGTACCCGATAGCATGGTAGCTATTATTTTCTTATTTTTTCCTTTTTGGTCCCGAGGACTTGGCTCTTGTGCATCTTCGGGGAGAAAAAACCCCAACACCAATGAAATTCAGAGAATTAAGGAAGCGGTACCTGGTTATTCAATCAAGTTCATAATATTAAGAACCCACTACATTTCCAGCGGTGTAGCTATGTACATAGTCATAGACACATACATAACATATATCATCATCACCATCAACAGCACACCCCCACCAACCATAGAAGTAATCTCCGTAATTTGAAATCCTCAATCGGTCAACCCCGCTAAAGTAATATGTAGTCTTTAGTCTTGTAGGTTGCAACCGATAGAAATCTTGATAAGTATGATCCCATTAGTCAAATTTAGTTATATTAAAAAATTTCCTCAAATAGAAAATTTAATTAAATGAAAGGTAAAGTCGGATTTCAATTCCGGCCCAGCATGCAACTACGTACTTACCATAGTAACCATACAGAGAGTAGCATCCGGAGTACATCCGCCTCGTCTCTCCGCCCGCTAATAGTAGTAAGCACTCCGTATGTAGTTAGTAAGTACGGAGTACTCCAAGTAACTTACTCCAAGTAGGTAGCGAACCTCTGACCCCACCTCGATATCAAAAACTCCAGACTATCCCGCGGAACAGTCCATCGACGCGGCCGTTTCACATCTCAAACTACTCCGTAGCTGGCCCTTGGTTCTGGGTCGGCTGCAACTCTGACCACGGGAAGATCACTGCGGTTTGGAGGGCCAATGAGCGTTGTTGTAGAAGATGTGATCAGGGCTTTTTTTCTTTTTTTTTTCTTTTTTTCTTTTTTCTTTTCTTTTCTTTTTTTTTTTTCCCTCTTCTTGCCCTGTTTTTCTGGTTCAACTCCCGATTTGGTAATGATGGAAGTTGCCGGAGTTATTACTCCTTTGGCCCGTTGGGAGTGATATAATTAGATCTTTCGTGCAGATATGGATCTCGGGAGGAGAGTCAATCGGGGGTTCTGAAACGTGAGACTTTTCGTCTGATCTCTTGGTTGTTGGTTATGAACTGATAACTGTCGAGGTACATAACGTAGGCTCGTGAGATTAAGCGTATTGGGATCGCTGAGGTTTCCCAATTGGGTCAACAGTCTACGACCCAGGATGTTACATTCCGGGGAGTTAGTTAGCTAGACAGCTCACTAGGCTACTAGCTAGGCAGCTAGAGCTAAGGTACCGTAGCTCTGAGGAGGGCTGTGTATTTGGCCTCTGCACCGTCGTATTCTATCTTCAACAACCTCAACGCACCTAGTGACTAGTAGTAGTTAGTATGAATATTATACCAGCCCGTTAGTCAAGCTAAGGTCGGAGTCTTTCCAGACGTGGAGTGGACCAGTGAAAAAGGGAATCGAGCCAATCACCCGTGAGAACTGACGGATTCCCCACTAAAATATATTAAAGCCCTATTAAAACCCGAGATGATCTGCCAATCAGCGGCCAGGGTTCCCTTTTCCTCTGGTTGCCGATGAAGCAGGATGATATAAATAATTCCATCTATCTCATATTAATTAATTCCGGGTGATCAGGAGAAGCAGCATTGGGAGGTTTCAGCTGTCAACTTGGGGCTTGTTGGGGTGTCATTAATTGAGCAATATAAATAGATTGCATCTTAATTTGTTTCGTCGTCTGACACGTTATTATCAATCAATCAATCAATGTTTGATATCTTTGCCTTGGATTTGGAGAAAATTGCCAATAAACCCCTGATTTACATGTTGGTCTCGAGGAGAGAAGTCCAGATGGTCAATTTTTCTTTGCTGCAACGGTTCTCCACTCGGCTAAATCGAATTATCGAATCATCACGATCGGATCGGAATCGGCAATACGTCACGTTCAAGAGGAGGAGCGAGAGGAAACTAATCGTCCGCTAACTGACGCTAACGACGAGTATTCCAAATCAATGGGAAAACGATCGTCGTTCCAGTGCTGCGACCGTCTCTTGGTCCGGGCCAGGGGTGCGTTGATGAGGTAAGTCGACAATCTCATTGTTCGTCAAGAGTGCGTCGTCGGGTATCGTGAGAGTCGGCTGGATAATTCGGCAACGGAGGTGTTTTTTTTACTTTTCTTTTCTTTTTTTTTTTCTCTCTCTCTCTCTTGATATTTCCGCCGGATTCACATTCCATTTGGAGAATTAACGTTTTCAACGAAAAGCATAATATTTTAAAAATTTAATGAAATACCGAAGCGAGTCATGTCATAGTATGTCAAAGGTTAGGGGGACGTCCCTTCGTAGAATAGCGACCGCCGACGAAAATCAAATGTAACTTTATTTTCATGTATTTGGGTTCAATGATGAACATGCTCGGTTACCCCATCTTGCAAAGACTTGCAAGAAAGGAGGCATTATGGCTGGCTGAAGTGAGCGCGCTGGTGGGAATTTATGTCGGTATATCCGTACACTTACCAAATCGGCACCCTCGCAGTGATGAGCATGATTATTACTATATCATATATACGATCAGCAATTTCGATCAAGCTGAATGTGGCTTTCCCACCGATTCCTCTGCAGCACTGTGGCGAGTCGGACAGGGAGGCTCGACGACTATTGAGGCCATCCTTCGATTACTATTCGCACAGCCCCGTCGAGACCAAAGAACTAGAGTGAGATAGTGAGGTGATCAGTGTGGCACACGCACAAGAGTGGCTGGTGCCAGCGTTGCTTTTCTTTTTTTTTTTTTCTTTTGGTCCTTGTTTGCTTTTTTCCTAAGATCTGGTCTCTTGCGTTTTGTGGCCCAATGTTTGTAGATCCCAGTCCAGTAAGGATGTCAAAAGGCGAACGGCAAGGTCCAGTCGTGAGAGATAGTACAGTATGAACATGACCAATACGTATGTACATGCATACCCATATACCCAGTGGATACAACCACCACGTAGTCGGGTTCTAGGACAAAGCCTGCAGCTTCGACAGACGTGTAGAAGGTCGATCCTCCTGAGACCGTTGGCAATTATGCACAGGGAGGAGACTCAAGGGAAGAAGCAATGGATGTCCGGAACGGGGAACGGGGAAACCGCATTGCCAACGCTCAAGCCCAGTCCAATCGTCCCGGGTTAAACTTTTGGGCAACAGGAACCTTACCTACCAAGTTCCAAGTTCCAACAGAATTATGGGAACCTACTGCACGTCAAAGTTTGCATGGTGAACCATTGAGAGCATCCAAGCGCCCTGGGCTGAGTCGCGATTTGCATGAACCATACTGGCTTCCTATCCATTCATTTGGACCATGCCTTGAAGGATCCGTGGTGGATGGAGGACAACTCGTCAGCTGAATTGGAAATCGATCTATCGATCCCAACTTCCCAACCAAGCGTGGTATGCATGCAAAATATAGTGGTGGTGGGGGGAGGGGGGTGGTTTCCCTTGCTTTTTGTTTCTTTTTTTTTTTTTTTCTTCTTCTTTTCGAGGATCTCCTGTCTCACACCTAATAAACTTACTTATTAGTATTATTATTTATTTATTTATTTTTATTTTTTTTTTTGCGTAGAAGTGGTATCACGTTTTCTCTCCTTTCTCAACTCGCCTTCGGATATCACTCAGCCGGTGGCAACCCCCTTGCGTCCTCCTCGTGAGGTTCAGTCGCAGACAAATGCCGATGACAGCCAGCCACAAAAAGGGAGAGTTCAGCTGAAGTGTGTCGGCAGTGGGGATACCAACTGACTAGTATCATGCCTATCCAAGAATGAACGGTAAGAACTAGGAGATCCAGAGTGGAAAATATGAATTAAGACTCGATATCATACACAAAAAATCAAAAGCATCATAAGTTTCATTGTAATCAACATTCAACAACAGCCAGGGGTATTATTAAAGTCCAAGCACACACATAGTGGATCCCAACCGAGTATCCAAAAACACAGACCTGTACACATGCAGAAAAAAACAGATCATCCGTCACTCCCGTCTTTTCTCTAAACCATCCAAAGTAGTCATCCACCCAACGATGACCGTAGAAACTCAACAATTCTCCGAACATGCTTTTGTACCAATTCAAAGAGGCACCATGATTACCACGTGACCCGCCGTGGATATATATGAAAATCATCCAGCAAAATGTACATGATATAGATACAAAGGAAATGCAAAAACAAAAAAAATAAAAATAAATGAAAAATGAAAAATGAAAATTGAAACCAAATGGTCAAAAGAGTGACAAGGGGTCGGTCAAGCATATACATAAACGCTTCCAGGATATCATCCAGAATGAAGCAAATTAAGGCAATAAAGTATGCGAAAGATGTCGTGCGATCATTCCAAGGCGAAGAATCGTCATTAGTTCAGCAGGTTGCTGAGGCCCATGCGCGAATCACGTGGGGATTCGGCTTTAGGTGCCTCTGGTTGAGACTCTTCGGGGGCAACAAGCCAGGTCTGCGACAACGAGGTTGAGTGCTGGTTCCAAGGCTGGTTGTCCGAGACCCATCTGGGTTTGAAGGGCAGATCGGCAAAAGTGTCGGACTTCTTCGGGGTTGACCACATGTAGACCTCATCCAATGAGCTCTGCTTGCGGAAGTCGCCGTATTGTTGGCGGGTGTCCACGGGAAATGGCAGGAGCTGTGGCGATGCGATGGTCCTAGGGGATGCGGAGGAAACTGAATTATGGTCTGAGACCATGGATGGTGGCTCCAGGGAGGGAGTATGAGAAGCGTCCGAGTAAGCAGGCGAGGTCAAAGGCGTCTCGACTGGGCGGTTGAGCGCGGGGAGTGTGTAGATAGGCGTCAGTTGGCGAGGGGCGTCAAGGGAAGTGGTCGAGGTGGAGTCCCGCCTCGACCAGGAAGTAAGAGGTCTATCGGTCGAGATAGAAGTAAAGCGAGACCGGCTGGTTGGGCTGCTCAAAGACACGGAGGCGCGTGCATATGGGGCTTCAATTCGACCATTGAAAGTGCGTGAGATGTGCGTGGTACTCGAGGTGGGGAGCCCTCTCCTCTTGCGGTTCATACTGCCATTCCACCAGTTCTTCACTGCGTTGTCGCTGCGATTGCCGAGTCGTCGGGCAATTTCGGCCCACCGCTTGCCCATTTCGTTCACCATCCGCTCAATCATCAGACCCTCATCCGCGGAGATAGGCTCGCGGTTCAAAGATGGCTTAAGATTCTGGTGGAATCGTTCCCGGCATTGCTTGGGAGACCGGTAGTGCATGTGCTGCGAAATGCGCACCCAGTTGTTGGGACCTTGTTCCCGAACCAACTGAAGTAGCAATTGATCCTCTTCAGGGACCCAAGGTCCACGGCGATGAGTAGGTGCCATTATAGATAAAGTCTTTGATGCGTTGAAGAGATCGTCTTTCACTTTGTCACTTTGTTTCCTGTGACAGTCGGTTAGATGGGTATAAGTAGTAGAAGAATACGAGTTGATCCGAAGTAGTGAAAAGTAAAGTAATAAAGATGCAGGAGTGCCAGTAATTAAAAGAAGGGCACAGGGCGGGGAAGGTTGACAGTTAATATAATAAGGGAGGTTGAGTGCTTACCGATGGTGGGGGGTGGTCGACTTAGTGCACTAGAGATTAAATCCCACAAGTGCTTATATATGTGTGTTGGGGGAAAGGGTAACCAGGTACCTAGATCCTGGAAAAGATTGCTTTGGTGAATGGATGGATGGATGGATGGATTGAAAGAAGTTAAGGTTCGAAAGGTACGACGGTCCAGGTGGTAGATATATCTCTAGAAGAGTAAGGGGAAGAGACGGGGAATTTTGAAGTGATGGACAAGTACGAGGAGGGATGAGGTATGATCAGTTTTATAGCAATAATCAGAGAATAGGTACAATGACCAGGGAGACGGGTCAGAGAAAAATGGACTACTGCTCCACACTTAGAGCACGCTATAGGAGAAGATCTGATCCAAGATCTCGGAGAGCTGACAGTTGTCGGAGGTATAAAATAATAAAATAAAATAGAAAAATTAAATTAAAAATCAAAAATTATTTTTTTGGGGGGTGATTATTTTATTTTTTTTAAAAAATAATATGATTTTATTTTATTTTTGTTTTATTTTTCCCCTTCCCGCAGATTTCGTTACCACCAATGTATTGTCACACTCGTCACGAGCACTTCTGTATGTAATGTTTGTATCTTAGGTAACTTCCGACTTCTACTTGGTACACGCACTCATACCTGACTTGAAAGCAGGTTTTGTCACTGTCTACTCCGTACTCGAGTTCATCAATTGCTACCTTGCTACAAAGGGGCTCCAGGTGTTATCCCTAGAGGCACAGGATGGTTCGCCTCCACAAGGTTCTCTAATTATGTTCGCTTAGAGATATATTGTACATACGTAAACCAGATGTACATCGTTTATCTAAATATGGAGCCCGGTATGTACATACAGATATACTTACAATACTCCGTACGGAGTACCCGACATACCTGGATAGTACTCCTGGAAGGTGTCAACGTAATGACAGAAGATACTCGAGTGGGGAAAATGAAAAGACAGGCTAAACATTCTTTGCAGTATCTTCTTTGGGTAAGACCCATCTTTAGCCTATGAATTTGACAGGGTAATAATTTTGAAGCACACCCATGCACGACTTCCCTCAAATTAATATAATTTTATTATTCTTAAAAAAAAATAAAAAAAAAGAAAAAGAAAAAGAAAAAGAAAAAAGAAAAAAGAAAGAAAGAAAAAAAAAAAAACAAAGTTCTGAAGCGCAGGGGAATTTCCGGATCGTGGGGGAGAGATTTGCCACTATATGCTATAGTAACAGACTCTACCACAGGACTGGTGTTGCAACAGGGACCCTTGTAGTACTAATGACTTGTGTGTGAAACATGAATATGCGTCTACTTCGCTTTTTATTTCCTAATTGCTTTTTAGGTGTACACCAAGCAGACATCGCGAGTCATTCATTGTATGAGAGACAGCGACATGAGACCGTCCAGGGGGTGCGGAAAGACTTTGTTAATCATTCCTCCTCGCAAGGCTCACCCTGGTCACGATCTCCTTCTCTATAATTATTATACATATGTATGTACGCCATCCCAAGTACTAGGCCTATGGAGATTTAACTCCGACGCCGCTATATCGGCCTTAACGTCTAGGAACTTTTAGGAGAAATCAATGTAGTATCTGTAGGACGAACAGACGTAGTTTCCGGGTTAGTAAATAATCAGCCTCCATTCTACTAACCTATTCTTTTATTTTTATCACATTAGTCCATCCGCTCGTATATGCAGTGGAGACCATGTTCAGGGGAAAGTGTCGTCGAGATAGCAGAGAACGGTCGTTCCTGAGTCAGTCACGACTCAATAAAAAAGAAAACCATTTAATTTTAATGGGGCCGGAGTATAGGAACGACAAGTGAGTGCGAGGAAGACCCCACGGTATCAATCATTAATTAGACTGTGTGGGAGGCAAAAGGGAAAAAAGGAACAAAAAATTAAGGTCCGATCATCTCCGTGGGCTAGTGTACTGAGTACACTCATGGCCGATCCACTCTCGACACCTTGAATATGAGGTTGGCCTATGCTCGTCTAGGTTCAGGGCCCTGACAGGAGAACGGGAGCGGCAGAAACGGTCTGTGGTAAGCAAATGAGGAAAAGTCCGGTGTGTTGGGTGAGCGGGGCTTTTTTTTTTTTTCTTTTTTTCTCTTCCCTCTTTCTTATGGTCAGGATTACATATTCTTGCATCTTAAAAAGCCAAAAAAAAAATTAAAAATAAAAAATAAAAGGGGGGTAAGTGTGTACTTCGTAGGTGGAAAAAGGAGAACCAACTCCGTGAAGAAAATAATAATAATAATAATACAATTCTGACAATATTAAAAACTGATACTAACAATATTAAGACTACAGTGTAATATGGTAAGTGCGAATCAAAAATAATCGATCTGGGTCTGTCGAAATTGTCGTTGATGAAAATTATACCAACAGATTGGGTTAGTGTTAAGCTAGTGTGGTCGAATTGGTATCATGTCGCGATCAAGGCAGACAAAAGCTTCATGGCCATAGCTCCGGGCAACAGCAGTGCCTTCCCAACGAGAAACGGCGACTTCGGGGACCCACTGTTGACGGGCAGTATCCCTGCCCAGTCATGGCAGACAGATCCTTTCGTGCATTGATAGTGCATCGCTCTTAGTCTGTTTCAAGAGGTGCCGACCTTGGCCTGGTAGCTAGTACTAGTTGACCGGCAATGGGGGGGGGTGGGAGTGGGAAAGGACAAGGCATTATTGACAGGTATTAATTCCATTTTCTTTAATTATGATTAACAAATTAGGCAAGAGTCAAGGAAAGCAGAAAACAAATCAAATCCAATAAAAAGGGTGACGAAGGATGAGAAAACACCACCCGATCCAAATCCTCAGCCAGCCATGTTCACTTATCACTCCACTCCCCGTGGGCCGTTTACTTAGTACTTACTACTTACTACAACATGAACCGTTTGTGTGGGGGCCATGATTGGTGCAGTGCGTCTAATTCTAACAATTTGGAATCATTAGACTTCGCTTTACTCAACATGGTTAAGATCATCGTGGAGATCGTGAATCTCGAACGGAGGGAACCTTTGCCTCGGTGCCAGTGGCTTCGCAAGTTACCGAACACTTTCCATTACTGGAACTTACCTCCCTAGGCTTAGTCATCTGGATCGCCCTCCCAATTAGGAAATCTGTGAGGTCATCCAGCCCTAATGTTCAGCTCCTGTAAAACAACACAGCCATTGTTCAAGTCCATGAGGCGTATTGAAACCTTGAAGAATCTGTTCTTGGCCATTGTCATTTATAGATTGGTATTACTTGGAAGAGAAGAGAACCGAAAAGGGTTTCATTCGGAGAGATTACTGAGTTTACAGGTATGATCATCTTCATGCAATTACAAAATAGTCATGATCCCGCCAAACTCAAAGAGCAGCAGGAACATGAACAAAAGTACCTGATAACGAAGGCAAGAGGGGTGACAGTGTCCAACCATCTTCTTCAGTTCATGTTCCTGACTCACGTTCGCTGCACCGTCAACCGGATACAGGATACTGGAGACTGGGTCCAAACTCGGCTCACCTCTGTGCCGCCGATGCAGGACGAAGATTGACAGATCTCATGGGCACCCTTCTTGCCGTCCCCATTTCACCTTCCATTCACCTTCCACCGTGCAATGCTCCGTTTGGCTGTTGACCCTCCATCTGCTAGTCCATGCATCATCATGCAACTGCGCTCGAACGAACCGGCTGAAGATGGTTAAGAGGGGGACGGGGAAGTCGGGAACATCCGCAAATGGATAGGTACTGAATGGACCATTTAAAAGAATGGCATTGAGCCGTAACTCCGGTTCCTCTGATTGGGTTGACCCCGACTTTTAGCCATGAATCGAGGATCCTGCGTGCAGGGACGGTGCCGCTGTGTTGGTGTTCACAGTGGGGAGGGCAGCAAAAGAAAAAATCACGATGGAAAAAGCAATTATACTGAACTATAGAGCACTATCGTTCCTCCCCTATCCACATATACCTATATCACAGATCGAGTAATGGCCATCGGCGATTTTTTCTCCGATTAATTAGACAGACAAGACTGATTGGCCGATCTGGATGACCTCGATGAGGACTGAGTTCCAGGACAGTGGAATGGGAGTATTAAGCTTCGGCAAGGAAGTGATCAGGATGTAAAGCGATCGACCATGTGGAATGGAAGGCTCGCTTCCCTGCGATGATAAGTAACATGTCGATGGTGCCGAGTCTCTCTGCAAACTAGCAAAATACAGTCGGATTGACTTTGAGGGAAGCGCTGTCATGCAAAGCGGCAGGAGTCCATCACATCCCTAGAGTTGGAGGCATGCAGCGTAGTGGATAACTTATCCTGTCAAAGCTGTCACACTATATGCACCATAGCAACCATAAATTACATGACAATCAATATGACAAGGCCCGCGACGCATGGCAGATACCACGAGCGGGAATATCATTGAACTGTAATACCGCATACAATTTTGGATTTAATTCTTTATTTTTTCCAAAAATAACCCTCCTCAGTTAAATTAATTTTTAATATTCTTCATGTACGGAGGACAGATGATGCAGTGATCAGTCAAATATCATAACGAATTTAACCGGTACGGTCGATCCCTCATCCAAGCGTACGACTAATTAGGGTGCATCGACCGCATGACGTGAGCCTCGATCTGCCTGGCCATTGGTCAGCATATTTAAGGTATTTGTCATTCTGGGGCGGGTGGATCCCGTACCTTTTTGGGTAAAGATAGGCGGGATATTTCTCTTTGTTGAGATCCGAAGAGGCTTTAATTCCCTTTTTTTTGGGAGAGCATCCCATGTGCTCACATGGATCATCCAGACAACTACCAACAATAAAGGAGCTTCCTATTCTGGTAAAGTTGAAACAAAAGTAATCCAGGTGACTGGTAAGTTGTGAAGAACAACCGTCGATAAACAATGATCAACCGTCACACATCAAATTTCGCTTGACAAGAAATAATCCTCGCCACTAGATTACATATTCTCGATCGAGATATTACTACTGGAGTAGTACTATCCATTTCCGAGCTGGTCGTTGGACTAACATACTGTACTATGCTCCCCTCACCCCCAAAAGGACCCAGTTCGTGGCAAATAGTGGGGTAACCGCTTTTCCCTGACGTTTGTTGATGTGAAATCTCGCCCTGAGCTTCGTTTACTGTTTGAGGCAGTGGAACTAGTCCAGTCTAGCACCGATGATGTCCATGGGGTTCTTCGGGGACCCCTCGGCCTCCTCTCGTTGTGCTTAGTATCTTCTAGGAGCCAGACGATCTTCTGGCGAGGGAGCCAATGTGGTAACGCCAGTCACGTCTGTGGGCGGTCATTGACTTGCCATGTGGATGGGTCCTTGCGATCCACCCTCGTGGTACGCAGCAAACAAAGAACTACACACAGATCCATTCTATACTTCTTACGTATCTATACACGTTAGATCTTCCGGGTCAACCTAAATATTACTCAAGCCTGCTGGATGCATCCATGTCAGGAGAATTCCAGAGAAAGGGGAAAGAACACAGGAAGAATAATACGGCCTGGTTCGATCATCAAAGCAGACAGGTCACAATACCCGATCAACGGCTGACCCGAAAACTTATATTGGACTATTGATTGATCGGAAAGCGCTTAGTAGTGGAGTCGGAACCTCGACAATGCGATACGCTACACGCGCTGACTGTTAGAGTTTTGGACCCGAATGGTCACCAAATGGTACCCTCTAGCCGGTACCAATCAAAAGTCCGGCACGTATTTGAGTTTTCTCATTCTAGTTCATTAACATCCTGCAGGACAGGGCGATCGGCCCTGTCAATTGCCTAAAATGCCGTGATACAGCACACATAGGCGACTTTGGATTGGATGCCTGGGGCATCACCACTAGCCGTACCAAACTTCCGGGCTTACGAAGTTTCGAGATGGTTTTTTTTTCTTCTATTAATCTTCTCTGTCCATGTGCATGAGGGTAACGATCCAGATCAAAGAAAGCATGATCTGATGCTCTCTTCGATGTAGGCCAAAAATAATTACATGTATCACACCAAGCGTCCATCAGCACGTTTCAGGACACGTTTGGGGTTTGACATGGATGAGGACCCTTAAGTAAAGTATATCCCTTTTACGCAGGTTGTTCAATGCTGTGTAACCCCCAAAAAGTAAATGAACCAGGATTCCCGATGCAGGATACCCTGTATGGGGAGGGGGAGTGGTTTAGAGTGGAGCGAACGGCTCTCTCGCATCCGCAGCTGTTTCCTGACTGTCGGGCCTCCTACTCTGCGAACCTCAAGAGGCCCGAGCACCCCTCGGAGCGCAGTTTGACTTGTTTGTACGGATCAGAGGGGAAAAGAAGAAAAAAAAAAAAACTAATTAAATGCCAAGGACATGTATAGCGTCGCTGTGTGCACTCCATATTAATTCTTGGGCGCCAAAGGATTGCGTCAATGGATCTACTACTATTTGTTGGACAAGGTAATCGCTTCTGGATCCTGTCTCAATCTAGTAGGAGTCGAGATGGCATGTTCTAGAGCAACAAAGTGACAACGGAGCTGTCATCCATCCATACAGTAGGTACTGAGAAGAATGATCGGCAGCTTGTAACAGACCGGATACAGGGCTGCATAAGATACCAATAATTCCATACATACAGAAATAAATACATCAATACGGTGACCGTATGTCCTGCAGGAATCATGGTTTCCATACACAGAACAATGGTAATATATATATATATATATGTGTGTGTGTGTGTGTGTTTATATCAAATCCGAAAGACAAAGGTCTAATCAAGATAACCTCGAGTGACAGGTAAAAATTAGGAAAATTAAGATTTCCCTTTGATAGTTTAAAAACCAAAAAAACGTTGTGTAGAAAGAATAGTAGGTAAAGAAAATATACCAAAATCTTGGGTCCATCGTTTCTTGTCAGAATAATCGACCTTTTTTAACTCATACCCGTAAAACGGTGAACCTTTCCCATGAGATGTACTAATCGAGATAGTAGATAAGTACCAGAATCTAATTTTGGTTGACTTAGCGTTGTTGTATGTGCCTCGTAAACTCCCTCGAGCCAAAGAACAATGGTTCTGGATCCTTGGGACCATAAATGACGTTGAAGGTACCTTGGAGGGAGGGGAGTGTGTGTGTTTACGACCTAAGATTGCTCCATACTTACCTAGAAGGGGGGGAAGTGTTGGCTTGTCCTGTCAGAAAATACGAAGAGGGAGGTGGGCTCCGCTCTGTTGGGCCGGCGTCCTCTCTCTGTCTCTCTCTTTTTTTTTTTTTATTATTTCTTTTTCCCTCGGGCTTTATGAGTGAGAGAAGTGTCGGGGACCATGTGGTTCCCGATTCGCCCAAGTGCCCGGTCTGAGACGAATCTCCCGTTCTGGTTTAGTTTCCATTCAGCCTCTAACTCAACTAGGAGTTCATTTTTGTTCCCACGGACTTGTCACTTGTTGGTTCCCTAGCCCTAAACCTAACTCAGGGATTCGGACAACGACTATGTATGTCCGGATTTGTATATAGCCAATTTATGCATAACATATTCAAACATGACAGTTCTTTTTGCCAGGTTGAACTACGACTCGATAGCGGTTCAATAAATCCTACGCCTATGAATTCCTGTACCATGTCTTCACTTAATTTGATTTTAGTCTCTTTCCTAATCGGGGTAGTTATATATCCAGTACCCTGTAGAAATAAAATCAAATCAAAAGAGTCGATTGCTGGTGCCCAACGTGAGGTCTAGAGAATCCTATAGTATACGTTTTGTTCTTCTTCCTCATTGCCCTCCCCAACTGCCAAAGAAGAAGCGGCATCATTGTGACGCCACATTCCTAATCTAGTGGTATATGGCCTGTAAATTACCTAATGGAGAAGTCACCCAACCTCGAAAGAGTAGTAGATATCGCGCAGTCCTTAAGATGCCCTTTGTCATTACCCGAAGCCACGGCAAGGTTCAAACGTTCCCTAGGTTCCAGATCCATGAAGTCGGGATTCTCTTCATCAGTCCCACCTCTATACGAAGAACAACTACGTAGATTCAAAGATGTTAAAGCCACCTCGTACCGATTCTTTCAAGCAGAACGGGTGACTTTTTGCCCGGGAGGAGTGGAAAGCCATCCGTCTCTCCATTGTACCCAATTGATTTGCGGGTCCGGTGTTTGGCTTCTACAGGGATGCGATGGTGAATGAAAAAAAGACGGCATCTCGAACATCTTGTTTGACAACCCTCCCCCCCCCCCGCCACCTGGGATATCCCCATACAAACTAGGCCGTGATCCTAGAATGAAACATGATCCTGGTAGAAACGTAGTGGCGTCGAGAAACACCGGGATGCTACAGAGCTAAGCATCGGATTTTCAACTCGCGCGTATGGCTAAAAAAGCCGTTGCACATCATCAAATGAGGGATATCTTGGACTCCCGTTCATACGCGGTATCCACTGATCCGCTAGAATCTTTACCTATAGTGTTCTATTCTTTGTCCTAGCGAGCCATCGGTGAATGTGAGCGTGCTGGTAGTTGTCTCATTACGGTCGGAGTAGTTTTGTCAGATGGCCCACCAATGCAGACACTTTGACGACAGGACCAGCGTGTGGGGAAGGTCGCGGGACATGAGACCAGATGATTTGACTTTGCTCAGAGACTATCAGTGCAAAGAGTCCCACAGGAAAAATGCAAGTCTGCGATGTGAAGAGGGGTTGCAGGTCCTTTCGGGCTCTAGTGAAACGGTCTGACAGATAACAATTCGAAAGTTAGCAGTCAATGCACTCTGTCAGAGCATTACTGGATAAAAACCTCCCTAAAAAGGAAGTGACAATATACTCAAGATTTACAAAACAAGACAGGCTTGTAACGTCCAGCGACCTTCACTGTATTACGGCGAAATTGTCAGAAATATAGTGACTAACCGATACCGTACTCGCTGGTATATCTTGTCTGTCTGCAGACGGCAAAGTATACCAATCGACTCTCCTTGTCGGAATGGCTCTGTGATCTTGATGGCGTAGGTATTGTCAGATTAGCGCCACCGCACATCCACTGGGTGGGCATATTCTCGCCATCTGCGGCATTTTCCTCCATATCCAAGTAGATAGGTCGTCAGCTCAAAGCGTTCAAGGAGCATTTGGAGGCAATGTGACTGGACAATCAATCCAGTCAACGTCAAATAAGGAGTGGTTCGTGTACGCGCGACATCTTTGCCCCCGCTTGCATCCTCGTGGTCATGGATTTTCCTTGCATGAGTCGCATATCCGTATGGCTGGGAAACAAGATCCAGTAATTGACAAGAGCAACTCAAACTTTCTTTCCATGAACGAGATTCATCAATAAGAGGCCGTCAGTACATCCTTTCCTTACTTGGCCTGTTCGTGTGCTGCACACTGCTACCTCGCCTTGATCTTGGGGGCCTTAACTGGCTGATCGTTCCGATAGCTTTCCAGCCATTGAAGTCTCATGAAGTGAATGTAACCATAAATAATCCTGAATTTAGATCTCTCAAAAAATGGTTAGTGGGTATGAAACAGCAGCGGCCCGATGATGATGAGAGCCCGTGACAACCCCTTGCCTTTTTTGGTCAAGCAAGCGTAGTTGTATTGATCATTTTTTTTCTTTGTCCATCACCTTAAGTTACTCTTCCACTTACCATCTACCGTCAATCCAGGAAGCTTTCACTCATACATCTCCGATACTTGAGAGTATGGCTATCATTACGTACTACACATCATATCCCCGAAAGCATAATCATTTGCCGTTCACTATCACAGAGGGGAAGATTAGACCAAGCATGACTCGAGACGTAAGCAGGGAAATGCTTAGCGGGCCCCCTCACCACGAATCCTTCCAGCAACATCTCGTGGGTTCACTGTTGCTTGTACACTTCGAGACTAGGTGAGCAACTAGTCCTTACAGAGTGAACTTTCATCATCGGGCAAAAGCTTACTGATTGCTGCATGGTCAGTGTTCTGGTCAGATATCCGGTAATAGTTAGAAAAATCTTCATCTCGGCCATGATTTCACTGTGACGGAGAAAAAAAAAAAAAAAAAAAGTACCGCTGCCCAAATCTTTTCATGGAAGCGGTCCATGATATTAGAAATACTGAAGGACTAGCGATCTACTAGTATAACTTAGTGATCGCCTAGTCAGTTCACTATGGGCTCGGCTATGAGCAATGCGGGCTGTGTGCACGGTATCTACCCGGCTGTCGAAACTCTATCGGCAGGCGCCATCCCTTCCAGACCCAGTTTTTCAGCCTTGGGTCCCAGTGCACAGGTTAAGCGCATGGCCATCCCGTCCATAAGCTGGAAAGCATGCCCCATATCCCCTTCCCGCTGGGCAATAAGCGGTATCGATCGTGATCCACGGGCCCCATGCTGGTTTGAACTGCTTCACAGTCACCTCCCGGTCCCGCTCCTAGGTTGGCTGTCTTACCGAGAATTGCCAAATCAGTACTCAATCTGGGAAGAATGTGTCGTTTATCTGTCGCACTACTAGAGGCCGGTGTCTCGGGTTAACACCCGCTGAATGCCGTGATACAACTACGGGTTCTAATATTAGGCATGAGCTTGTTGGGACTTGCCAATGGCTCGCTTCCAACTTCGCCGCAAAGTTAAGAATGGGAAAAATAGAAGAGAAAGCCCAAGAATGGGGAGGAGGGACTGTGTCGCAGACCCTGCGATGCATCGTACTTGCAATTTCGTGACCGGCAAGTGGGTGCCGGCCAGGATTCTCTACCTAACACAAAACATTACCTAGCCTGCTCCACTAACTCCTCATCTTTCCCCTCATCTTTCCGCCTGTGCCGTGAGGTGAACAACTACCATTGGCATACTGTTGCCGAAAATGAGCCTGATATGACCGACGTAGGCACACGTGCTGCGTAACGCCTTTGGCATGCTCAGATACATCACAATCCCCAACTCTTAGTGCTCATTAAGAAGGACAGGATGAGGTCATAGCTTCCTCATAATTGAATCACAGACTTCCAACTTTTCTGTTAAGAAAAAGAAAAGAAAAATGAGCCATCCAAAGCAAAAGCATGTACTTACAATGGCCAGGTTCTCCAGCCACCTTCTGGATTCGGTTGAGAGGGCTTCATTGGAGTCACATTTGCTAATGCTAAGTGGCGTAGAACACATACTGTGGATTCGGTGAAAAAATACACTTTCGATAGAATCGAATTATTGTTTGTGATTCTATCATGCATAACGCATACATCAAATCAGGTTTCTGCGGCAGTCACCATGACAGAATTACTCCTACACTTGGACAGTTCTTGACGAAACCTCGGTTTTCCCAAGTCCAAGGGTCGAGATCGTGAAATCAATTAGCAGTTGATTCCAAATATGTTTCCATTTCCCTTGCATGAATGTGATCAGATGCATTTTCTGGATAGCATTCTACCTCTAACCAGGTTTCCTAGATTGTTTGACCGAACAAGAAAATGCGCAGGACAAATACAGGTAAAAAAAAAAAAAAGGAACATCACTATCATTGGTACTTGACAAGAAAATACTATACGCTCGTGCCAATCCCCTACGCCCTGACAAAAACAGGCATTGTCTCAATCGGACAGGCAACCTCGACCGTGTTGCCTCCCTCGTAGACCTTGTCTTCACCCCATAATTTCCATGAAGCCCCTGCTGGCAGATAGGCCGCTATCTTCCGCTGTCCCGCTTCAAGTACCGGTACTATAAGATACTTAGAGCCATACATGTACTCTGTCTCGATATCCCATGCGGTCTTGTCCTCTGGGAACTCATAGAACAAAGTCCGGATCACCGGGGAGCCCTTCTCATGGGCTTCTTTCATCAAGCTCCTAGTATAGTCTCTGAGCTCTTCACGAATGCCAATGTACTTCTTGCAAATCTCATAGATCTCCTCTCCATAGGACCAAACCTCATTGTCAGATCCCGACGCAGTAGGCTGTCCCTCCGGCTTCGGTTCGCGGTCACCATGCAGACGCATCACAGGGCAGAATGTCCCCCATTGGAACCACCGAGTGAAAAGCTCCCTGAAAGCAGGATCATCAGGATTACCTCCATGGAAACCGCCGATATCCGTAGTCCACCAAGGGATCCCAGCTAATCCCATGTTCAGTCCGGCAGCCAGTTGATTGCGGAACGAGCTCCAGGAGGATGCAATGTCGCCGCTCCATACAAGGGCACCATATTTTTGGCTGCCGGCCCAGGCACAACGGAGAAGATTCACGATGTTCTTTTGACCCTCGGCCTCCATGCCTTCGTAGAATGCCCGTGCGTACTCTTTGGGGAAGATGTTTCCGATTTGCATGTTGGGGCCGGCGTGGTAGCGATATATATCGAAATCGTAGATGCTGTATTCGGGCTCTGCTTCGTCTAGCCAGAAGACCTTGATGCCCTTGTCGTAGTAGTTCTTCTTTGCGGTTTGCCAGATGAACTTCTGGGCTTCGGGGTTGGTGGCGTCGAAATGCGTGATGTCGCCGTCGCACTGCATGGCGATTCGTAGGCCGCGATCGTGCCGGATGAGGAGGCCTCGCTCGAGCATCTCTTGGTAGTTCACGGATGTAGTCTCGACGGTAGGCCAGATGGACACCATTAGTTCCACGTTTAGTTCCTTGAGTTCTTTGATCATAGCATCTATTGTTTGAAGTCAATGTCAGTTAAGTGTTTATCTATTCATGATGTCGTGAAGGACAACCCACCAGGATCGGGCCAGAATTCAGGATCAAAGCTCCAGTCGCCTTGATGTTTCCAGTGGAAAAAGTCAATGACGATCAGGTCCAGTGGTACCTGTCGCCGTTTATATTCCCTCGCCACATTAAGCAGTTGCTCCTGGTTCCAGTACCGGAGCTTGCATTGCCAGAACCCTAAGCCATACTCAGGCATCATCGGAACATAGCCAGTCACCTTAGCATACGCCTCCTCAATCTCTGCCGGTGTGTCACCTGTGACGACCCAGTAGTCCAGTGCCTTTGTGGAATGTGCCTCGAAACTCATCGTATTCGTTCCAAAAACAGCGCGTCCAATACCAGGGTTATTCCACAGGAAGCCATATCCGAGGGACGAGATCGCAAAGGGGACGCTGGCTTGGGAATTTCGATGAGCCAATTCGACATCAGCACCTTTGAGGTTCAAGGATGGCTGTTGATATTGACCCATCCCGAAGATCTTTTCCTTGGGATCGAGGGACTCGAAGCGCATGGTGAGGCGGAAATCGCCCCCTAGGATTCCTCGCAGTTCGCGGGCTTCGACCTCCAAGGCGCTGCATTTCGGGTCTTTGGGATCACGACGATGGCGGGCATATTCCTCCAAGAGTTTATTTCCCTTGGAGTCATAAATGATGATCTTGCCGCGCTGGGAGACGACAGCTTTGATTTTGCCGTTGGAGATGCTTGCTTCTTTGCCTTCCGGTGTCTCGATGACGGGCTTACTTGCGCCGGGTTTTGTGGACAACGCCCAGTCTTCGGTGGGCATTGATGAGAGTTTCGTAGCCCTCACTCTGAATGCGTTCTCGCCCCATGACTGAATCCAAAGAAGATGGTCATCGAAGCGAAAGATGAGCTTGTCGTCTTCAGCATAGAGCATGGTGGAGAAACTGAGGCTGGTAGCCGTATTATAATGGGCTCAACTGGCTCAAGGGGCGTTAAGAACAAAATAATGCTATCTGAAGTAGAAGAGAATTCAATCTTTACGTTTGGGGGGATACGGGGCCATTAAATGATCAGAGTGACTGGCGTCCCCTTCGTGGGGACTCAACCCTGCCAACGCAACAACATGTCCCCCTGCAACACATGCAGCAATGCGACTACGCCGGCGTTCCAACCGTCGGTATATAACGACAATTGGTAGTTCCCCTGCGGAGGAACTCCGGTGGTGGTGGGGGATTTCATTGTTCAACTACTTATCCATATTAACCGGGCGGTCGAGCTCTCTTCGGATTGGCACGATGAGACTATAGCCTAAAGTCCGCCGCGTCTCGTACGACCCCTCAAGGCTCAAGAGAATATCACCAACGGCCTTCATGTGGAGCAAAGCGGTGATTTACCTGTGAGATAAAGATGTGGAGGCTCCGATCTCTCGGTTTCTCCCCCCGCATTTACATGATGACGTCCGGTACTCTACTCCATGGATCCATCCATGATATCCCCAGATATATCCCGATTGGGATCTAGAACGTCTGGTTCTCCAGTCTGGTTGTATATCACACGATGCTCTCTAAGCTTGGCAGTGGTCTTGATCCAGACGATGCCATACTCCTGTCCAATACAAGCGTTTCATTGAAGTCTACCCCCACGCCACGCTCATCCAGGCCGAGCTTACGCAGCTTGCACTCCGATGACTGACAGGCTCTCCGTATTCAAGCAATCAGATAGAAACTGCGTCCAGGATCCTCGGTTGAATGAAAGCCCAATGGGTTAAAGCATTTAATTCCCACTACATATGCAGTACCTTGTACCCCATGGGGGAACCTTGTCAACCCTGCGGGGTGCATTTCATTTACCCCAGATAACGGACAAAGTCCGGTGTCTTAGCTACTGCTTTAAAGTTAGAATGCAGGACAATGATGTGTTTGCTTGTGGATGAATTGCCTCTCACGGCAGTCTTCAGAGCTATAAATACGTCATGTTTCCTCGTGGCTGGAATGCACCGTTCAAATACTTCTCTCAGAGATTCTCGTGGGAGTTACACTTTTCCAGATGAAAATTGACGAAGACGTTCCCAAGGAGCATACTGCTCACATAGAGCATACCGTAGAAACTACGGCTCCAACCAAGGACGCCCTACAGGCCTCTACGGATGAGCATGAAGCTACCGTGTGGGAAGCCCTGAGGCACAACTATAAAGCCGTCTTGTGGTCTGCCGCTATCTCGTTGTCGATCATTATGGAAGGATATGATGTTGGTGAGCATTATCATATATACTGCCATTTCATTGAGTTGCTGGAGCTTTCGTAACGGTGCAATAGCCCTCATCTATCAGTTCTTCACATACCCTGCATTCCAACAAAAATTCGGATCATACCGTCCAGAG